AGCCTGACCGATTACCGCTTTTTCCAGTCCGATCATCAAGTCCAATCCAATTTTGAAAATCATATTCACAATTTACAGGGGTAGTGTATTGTAGGTAGACGTGGCAGAATTCACATAGACAAGAGATCCGGAGTCGTTTGGTTCTACCTTATACGCAAGCTTGTATTGGGGTATATAAAGTAATAAACACAAGTTCATAATTTACATCCATGTATTTAATGCCAATATCTAATGATACAACGAAGAGAATTGGTTTGACTACCTATATCGGAATTGTGTACAGTAATTTAGGGATCTTTAATAATTTGTAGGGTTGTCAATGGGTTAATTCTAGTCGATCAATTAAATTAAATCAATCATATTTGTTTTGACCCAATTATTAGTTAATAATCTATTACAATATACTACTAAAATAAGGATGGTCATGTACAACAGCCTCTCCTTACTCTATTACAATATATTCAAATAAGGATGATCATGTCGAATGACCTTTCTTTATTTTATTACCCCAATCCTATAATTCTAGAGGAGTAGAGGAGGTTCACTATTTACTTTCAAAACTATGAAGTTGCCACTTTAGCATGAAAACCTTTTTTGTTTTGTCAAAAAAAAAAAGGAAAATATCATAACAGAATATGAAAGAAAGTTCATCACGTTATAAAATAGGAAACAAGGGATAATTATATATATTTTTTATATTTTCTATTTTCTTTGTCTGGAGCAAATCACCATGAAGCAGTAGATTTATGTGTATTGCGTGTGTTGTGACTTCAGTGAAGCATAGGGATGGCAATTTTTCCATCCCCGTTGGGTATCCAGGCTCCCCTACCTGGTGGAGTCGGGGAATGCAATTCCCACCTCACCCTGACCTCGATTAATATATATATTATTTATATTTAAAATAATATTATAATTTTATTTTAAATATAATTGTTTAATTAACTAAACAAATTAACAAAAACTCAAAAAAGTCCAGTCGACACTTAACACTCGACAGAAACAGAAGTGGGAACCTGAACCCTACTTCTTCTCTTCTACTCTTTTCTTCATTTCGTCTTCGGTGGTTCGGTGTACTATGACTTCCACTCTTCAGACTTCAGGTAACGGTTTCACACACACTCTGAAATCTATTTCGTGTGAAACAAAAATCTCCACCGCAGCCAACAGATATAAAACTTCCAAGTTCCACTGGCAGATTTTGGTAAGTCTATCAGCCCCATCTCCTACTTTTTTTTTATTAGTGTATTTCAAAGGGAAAGAGTTAATGATTATTTTATTCTGATTTTAATTTCTTCCCTTTTCTAGTAATGTAACCTCGTGCTTGATAGTATTTGATCACCGCTGTGTTTGGAATAGGTGTAAAATTTTACATCAGTTCGATTTTGTTCGCATTTGAAAGGATAATGTAATCATAATTGACATAAAACTCTACTTCAATTCAGTTTTGCGTACATTTGGATGGAGTGAAGTTTTACATCGATAATCGATGTAAAACCTATCAAACGTCTTCACTCATTGTGTTTTTCAAAAAGCAATGATCACTTTTATAATTCAGTGTAAAACGTTATCAATATATTTTTACACCGATGATGTTTTATACTGATTCGAAGCGCAGCTTAATGAAAAATTTTTAATTTTACAGTTTTTGTCCCAAACATACAGTACCATTAAAGAAACAATGAACCACATAACCAGAAGAACCAAAATTTAGTGCTAAAACCTGGTAGGAACCAGGACCAGTCGGAGATCCGGGTCTTTGACGGGGAACCCATCCCATCATACATGGCTGTAGATGTAAATCGGGCAAAGAAGATAAAATCTTCAATTAGGTTTGGATCGGGTTAATAATATCATACCTGGTCCATTTAACTAAAGTGACATGTCTTAAGTTAAATGTACCAGATTCCATGTGGATCTGAGCATAAACCAACCCATAGCCGGCCCATTTGAATAATGAAATGCTGTCAGTAATTACTGCTAATTTCATTAACAATATTAGTTAGTAGTATTTAATGAATTAATACTGTTAAACAATTAAATTATTAATTATTAATTAAATTAACACTATTAATATTGTTAATATTTACTAGTAAAACCTGCTAATTAAATCAATTAATAATAACATTAATTAAATTAATACTGTTAATATTACCAAATATATTAATAATTAATAAATTAATACCATTAATATATTACCAAATATATTTTTATAAAAAATACAATTACAAAATAAATACCATTAATAAATTACTAAATATATTTTTAGTAAACTAACAAATATTTTTGAAGTAAAAATTACCAAAAATAATATAATTTTGGAAAATTTTTATTTAAAAAACAATATATCTGTATTCATTTATGATTAATTTTAAATTATTTTGAGTGATTTTTTGTAATATTTAAAGTGTTTCTTGTATTTTAATATTTTTAAAGATGTACCTAAAATTAGGGGAGGCAATGAGCCGAGCTTTTCACGAGCTGCTCAAGCTCGGCTCGGCTTGATCTCAACCGAGCTTGAGCTCGAACCCAATTCACTGGCTCGATTATAAAACGAGTCGAGCTCGAGCCTACTAGAGCTCGATTCATAAGGCTCGCGAGTCGGCTCGAATATATATATAAAATTATAGAAAATGATATATATAATAAAAATATTATAATTCTTAATTTTTTACATATCAAATAAAAAGTAATTTTATATATAATTTTTTATTTTTATAAAATATTTTTTCTCAAAATCGAGCTCGAGCTTATGAATTTTTTACTCGAACCGAGCTCGAGCCTTGTAGAACAGTCTCGAGCCGAGCTCAAGCCTTGTACTATTTGGCTAGGCTCGGCTCGAATCCTTGTTAATAAATATAATTAGTGTTAATAATAAATACTGTTATTTTTTTAATATTTAAAGTATTTTTGTAAAATTTTAAAGTAAATACTGTTAATAAATATAAATCATAATAAGATTGTTAATTAACAATAAAATTTACCAAAAATTATCATCACTATTTATAGTAAAGGTAAGTGCCAAATTTGCCTAAAAGTACCATAAATAGTATAACAGTATTTATTTTAGCTTCTTTTTAATTAATTTTTGGTAGTGTTAAGTAATTTTGGTAATTATTAAAGTATATTTGATAATTTTTGATAATTTTTAAATTAAATACTGTTAATAGTTTAAAATCCAATGAATATTGTCTATTAATAGTAAGGGATTACCAAAAATATTTTATTTAATAAAAAATGTTAATGAATATTATTAATAAAAATTACCAAAAATATTATAATTTTGGAAATTTTTTATTTAATAAATAATATAACTGTATATTTATGATTATTTCTATATTATTTTGAGTGACTTTTTGTACCTTTTGGTATTATGTGAAGTATTTTTGGTAATTAATAAATACTGTTAATAATTATAAATTTATTTATAAATACTGCTAATAAATAGAAATTTAATAAATACTGCTAATTAATATTGCTAATTTTTAAGTAAAATTACCAAAAATGTGAGTAAAATTACCATGATGGGTGGTGAGCTGAATACATACATTTATAAAAAATTATCATAAATTTGTAGACATTTTCAGAAATTAGCACAAATTTTCTTGTACATCACACGGGCCCTCAGGTTTTTTAGTTTTCTGTAACTTTTATTTTATTTTATGTCTAAAAGGACAAACTTTGATAATTTTGATTAAAAGCATTTGATTTATTAACATACAAATAAATTTGCATAAATAATTATAGATGTCATGAGTATAATTCTGTCTAAGTGGATTAGACTAGGGGTGATCATTTCAGCCCGGCCCAGCCGCAAATTTTAGGGCCGGGCTTGAGCTTAATATTTCAAGCCCAGCCCAGGCCCAGCCTGGCCCGCATGTATTTAAACTTACAATTTTGTGTATAAAGTATACATATGTATACATGTTATTTTACATTATATTATATATTTTATATATAAATATTATAACATGACATGTATAATTTATATTATATGTAATATTTTATATTATATAATGTATAAAATAAGTTTATATGCATGTTATGTCATTTAATATATAGATATATAATATTTTATATTATATAATGTATAAAATAAGTTTATATGCATGTTATGTCATTTAATATAAAGATATGTAATGTTTTATAAATGAGTGACATTGGCCCAGAATCAGCTTGGCTCGGCTTGGGCCCATATAGACCCGGGGTAGGGCTTATATTTCAGGCCCAGAACCCTGAACCTAAACTATAACCCTTATCATAAGTGCAAATCCCGGCCCGTCCCATGATTACCCCTAGATCAGACCCAATTAACTTGATTAATAAATATTCGGTTTTGGTGTATGATTTTGTTGTCCCGATTAATAATCAGCTCAAAACGAATACAAGTTGACCCGAACCAAACCCGACCCATTTATATCATAGCCCAAACTTTATCCCCAGCACCAATAATGGGGAATCAAAAATTAATATCAACTCAGTACCCATCATGGGATTTATCGAATTCAGCCCCATTTCCAATCCAATTGAACTTTGAACGAGATAACACAAAAATCGTCGGACACGTGTGTGAGTTGGGAGCCAAGTAGGTGAGCTGAATCAGATTTAATTGGTTCATGTACAATTCAAGGTGATGTGCACAATACAAGTCCTCAGCACATAATATCTATGAAATAAGGCATAGGATATTGGAAAATGAACAATTGAACATCAGCGTGGGGGGTAAGCAACACGCTCATTTATTGTTTGATTAAATGACGCACAGAGCACCAAGCAAGGGAGAAAAAACAATCCCTCTGAGATGTGGGCAACCTCTTATTAACTCTTTCAAAATTAGAAAGCTCTCAAACAAAACCTCCCTAGTTGTGTTATTGATGGTAATTGCTTCATATGGATAGCATGAATAAACAGCCTAGACCTAACCGACTGGTTATCTATTTATTTGATCACTATAAAAACCTGAACAGATACAACCCACCACCCCAATTACCATCTCCTCCCACATGCTTCTCTCTTCTTCTTCCCTACCTTCTAAGCAGGACTCATGGCCTGTGCTTCCCCATTTAAACAGGTTGACCAGCATAGCAAGGAGAAACAAGTTACAGGTTTCCCTAGCTCAGATCAAGAAACAGCAGACACAACATGTTTTGATTCTGAACTCACTAAGTGGAGAAGTAAGCACCACCACAAGTACAGGAAAACTCCGGGTGGCATACCAAGGTGTTCCTGGGGCATACAGCGAGTTTGCAGCTAAAACTGCTTGGCCTGATTGCATCACTGTCCCTTGCAGGGTTCTCACTGATGCCATAACAGCTGTTGAGACCGGCCGAGCAGACGGAGCTGTTCTTCCGGCCGAGAGCACCAAGGAAGGGACTGCTCTTCAGAACTATGGTCTCTTGTTACGCCATGATGTGTCCATAGTGCAAGAATTGAACCTTTTTGTCCATTATTGCCTGCTGGCAATACCTGGTGTGAAGAAAGGAGAGCTTAAGAGGGTGATCAGCCACCCCATGGCACTAGCTCAGTGTAATAGGACCTTGGCACGGCTTGGACTTGACTGTGAGTCTGTAGAGGACACAGCTGGTGCAGTTAAGCTTCTCCTCTCTCACAAGATGCTTGACACAGCTGCCATTGCCAGCTCACGAGCAGCGTCACTTTATGGCCTCAACATCCTTGCTCATGGATTGCAGGATGAATCATGGAATGTAACCCGGTTCCTAATTCTGTCCAGAGTCCCCAGAATTMTGTGGGAGAACAGATTTAGAATTAAAACCAGCATGGTTGTTGCCCACCACAATGAGACTCTAACTCTGCTTCTTAAGGTTCTTTCTGCTTTCTCTTCACGCAATATCAATCTCACCAAGCTGGAAGTGAATAATCCCTCCAAGGATGATGGGCTTGTCATGATGTTGGATGTTCAAGGAGGATTCTATAAGGAATTCCCCTGTGTTCTTTATGTTGATTTTGAAGGATCAATGGCTGATCAGAAGGTGAAAGATGCCATAGCTGAAATCTCCAAGTCACCTGTTTTCATTAGGATATTGGGTTGCTATGCTGCTGATCCTAATATCTATGGTCTTCAGTAATCCTATTATATGTGCCCTTTTCCTTCAATGATTTATTTCGATTAGATCTGATTTTGAATTTATTAATATAGGCTAGAAAATTTGTGTTTTGGTTTCAGAATCATATATTTTTCTGTCAGAAGTTAACTCCTAAAATAGTCTTCATATATTTGAAGGATCAATAGCTGATCAGAGTGAAAGATGCACAGCTGAAGGATCAATACCATTACTGTTTCAGAATCATATGTTTGAAGGATCAATAGCTGATCAAAAAGTGAAAGATGCCATAGCTGAGAACTCTCATGAGTTACCTGTTTTCATTCGGATATTGGGTTGCTCTACACTGCTGATCCTAATATCTATGGCCTCAACTAATCTTATTATATGTGCTCCTTTTCTTTCCATAATTTATTTCAATAAAATCAGATTTGGAATTATAGACTACTATACAAATACCATTATTATGGTATATACCTATAATGGTATTTTATAATTATAGAATACCATTATTGTGGTTTCAAAATAATCTATATCTATGCTATCTATACTATCTATACAAAGCAAGGTGGTCCACGCCACATAACCTCTCCATTCTCTAAACCCCTCCTTGCTCTCTCCTTTCTCCATTACCCCCTTCCTGCCCTGTTATATGTTAAACTTTGCAAAATTAATTAGTTAGTTAATTAATGTTAGAAATTCATAATACTATTCATTTAATTACCATTTAAAAATGATTAACATATAGAAAAATGAAAATAAATTACTAATTTTTAATTTTAACAATAATAACTGTAAAATTAATTACAAGAATATTATACTTAATTTATAATAACAAATTATAACATTATTAAAAATCTTAAACAATAGTAAGCTTAGCATAACATCATAGCTTAAATTAAACATCAATAGCAATTTGCTAAATACATTAAAATTGATTTAAATTCAATTTTAAAATAATGAAAAATAAACACAATAAGCTGGGTTCAATATGGGTTTGCCTTCACACTTATTTTTAATAAAAAATTCTAACATTATTAAAAATTTTAAACAATATTAAATTTAGCATAATATCGTAATTTGAATTACACATCAGTAACAACTTACTAAATAAATTAAAATTTAATAAAGGTAAAAATTACTGATTTGAAAATGATTTAAATTCAATTTTAAAATAATGAATAATAAACACAAATCGGATTCAGTATGGGTTTGCCTTAACCCTAACCAGACCCTCCCATGCTTCTACTTGAACCCAACAAAATGACATACAATTTCTGAACCTGACCCAACCCTATAGGGGTTCAACTCTGTACCAACCTGACTTTCATTCGTTTCAATTGTATTTTTCTATAATACATTTAAAAACCCAAGTAAAGATGACAATCTAACCTGCCCCCACCCTATCGAGGCAATTGTTTTAACAGTTGATCGGGTTTAGGATGGATTTCAGGGAAGCCCAAAACTTGGTAACCAAGGGTAGGGTGGAGTGGTATTTGCCCCAATGTATTAAAACTGACTTAGACCAAAACCGTTTTGGGTCTTTTGGCCACCAATTTTTGGATCAATGATTCGACCATCTTATCTAAACGAATGATCCATTGTAATTTAAAAAATAAAAAGCAACTAAAAACCATTGTCTGGGTTTAATGAGTTGATGGTTTGACTGCTCGGGTCAATGGTTGCTGACTAAGTCAACAGTTTTTGACAAAAGAACATTTTCAGGGGTGAAACATAATTGGTTGCCTGGATGTTTTCTAGGTTGATGATTCGACTGTTCGGGTCAACAACGGTTCTGAAACCATGATTAATCTAACTCACCCTGAGCTTGACACTAACCTCCAAATAAATAATGTTTGTGATATATTAGTTTATATTGTCTTTTATATTGTATATATAAATATTATAATATGACAACTATAATATACATTTATATATAATATTTTATATTTCTTGTCATAAACTATAATATTTTATATTATGTATTGTATGAAATAGATTTTATACAATACACAATAATGTATAATCCATGGTTTTTGAACCATCATTAACTTGGACAGTCAGACCATTTGGCCCGAAAATCATCTAGAAAACTAGTTCCATTTCACGCCTGAATCATTTCTTTGCCAAAAAACGTTGACTTGGTCAGCGACTCACTGACTCGTGTAGTCGAACCATCAACCCATTTCAACTCGAACAATGGTTTTTGGTAATTTTTTACTTATTATTTTATTTTTTTAATTACAATAGGCCATTTCTTCGGATTTGATGATTGAACCATTGACTTGGAAAACTAGTGGCCAAAACAGTTCCGGTTCCATGTTGATTTTTAAAACATCGGTATAATCAACCTCAATAAATATTTAATGAAATTCAATACAGCTTTATCAAACAATGCATACCACAAAAATAATGTTTTCAATGGATTCAGTGTGACTTAACCCAATAAGGAATAAGACTCCTAGCTCAATTTCTTATAACAAAGCCTATGTGAGTCCTTACTAGTTTATAAATATTTACATGGTGTGTATCTTATAATTTTTATATATTTTTATAACTTATTAATTAATATTTTAAATTACACTGAATAACAAACACATTTATTATTCAAAAAAATAAAATTTTGTTTACAAAATAGTTGAAAATATAACATTAACGTGAATCTATCAAGTACACTAATCTACATTTATATACAAAATGGTTTCTTATTTCAGAAAATTTATAAAAATATGTGTTAATAATGAAATAATTATTTAGCAATTAAAAATTATGAATTTGTTTGTGATATGTATCTTAGAAATTTTAACAGATTTGTTATATTTTAAGTTAAGATTATATATTTTTATATACTATTAATTGATATTTTATAATAACACATTTATTGTTTTGAAAAAAAATAAAATATTGCTTAGTTTAGTTAACATTTTATTAATGTTGAAAAGTAAAAATCATAAAATAAAAAATTGATATAATAATTAAAATATAAAAATTGCATATGTTTTGTATCTTGGAGTTACATAGAATGGCTTTGAGCATGCATTAATTGTAAAAATCTATATAATATGAGTATTGGAGTCTTGATTGATTCATTATTGATAAAATTGTATATCTATGCATTCAACTATATTAATTACAATATATTTCTTTATATATATTAATATTATTTATATTTTTGTGACTATTTTGACCTTAAATTTGTGTTATTTATATATTTATATTTAAGTATTTCCATATTTTTTATCAATAACAATATATTTCAATATTAATACGTAGACTGTGTTTGGTTACAGTATATTAATCTTATTTGCACTACTACAAATAAAATTCTGTTTTAGGTTTTACATCATTGTATTTTACATGGTTTTCAAAACCGGACCAGACYGGAAAATTGGGAATCAGTGACCAGTTCCGTTTTACTCTAGAACCATTATTTCCCTAAAAACCGTTGATTTGGTCAGCAAACCGCTGACTCGGGCGGTCAAACTGTTCAACAGTTTGTCTGGTTTTAATTTTTTTATTCATTTTTTACCTTTTTATTATTTTGTCAAAACGGGTCGTCCATTCAGTTCGAATGGTCGAACTATTCGACTTGAGAACTAGACCCCTAACTGGTCATTGACCAATTCGATTTTAAAAACTTTGGTATTTTAGGTCATATTACCTCATTTGTGCTGCAATCAAATAAAATAATTAAAATTTGAAAGAAAAATAAATCAGAATTTATACCTAAATCGTTTCCTTTTTTTTTAATGGAAAAATGTGAGCTACACAAGCCTAGGGGTAGTTGTTCCCCTTACATCTGCTTCACAAATAAAAATAAAATCGCATGTCCCTAACGATACATATGCTTGAATCTGATATTAAGGTTAAGAAATTCAACAAAGTTTCAACATTCCCTAATGATACTAATTAATCTCTACGGGGTGAGATACGACCATTGAAACAATCAATAACTAGTTTAGAATCTCCTTTGATGATGATTTGCCAGTCCCTGAAATTAATTGTGATATTGATAACCTACACTTTGACAAGGTTGATCGTCATGATACCAATCCCAATTGCGCTTGGGTCTTGAGGATATAACCTTGACGGTTCCTTGGAGTATAAATCCAAATATCTAGAGTGCAAAACCTCATATTTTGTATCTATTTGCATTGTTCATACTTGCATTTGTACTCTTGCCAATACATATTCATTTGAATATATTATTTTACGCCTTCCTCTAAATAATTTACTCAAAGAAAAACTCACATGCTTATTTGTCGGATAAAGAAAAGCCTTGCATGCGGAGTCGCTTCAGATTCGTCTAGGCTGTAATGCTGCACGTGGTTTTGCAGTGATACGGTTCTAGTATCTGGCAACACGTGGGCACCCGAATTAATCGACATTTAATCTAACCAACGGTAAGAACAGGCGACGCGTCGGTTTCGGTTCTTACCCACCTTGCATCCATACCCGATTCAATGGATTCACCGTGACAGGAACAGGACCCTCTAGTTGGAAATCCGGCCGTTCAAAACTGTGCTGCACGTGAGAAGACCTTGACTCCAAAACAATCCGGTCATTTCATTTCCATTTCCTCGGAATTATTTATTTACATGTTTCACGCGAAATCTTCTTTTGCTCTGTTTCTCTCCTAAAACTTTCCCACTTCTTATTCTTCACTCTCATTTTGGAGCTTTTAGGGTTTCTAAATCTCTGGTGACTGGCCTTTGAGGTAAGATATGTGAATCGAAATCCTTTTTATTTGCGATCTTGAATATAATAGCGGTTGTTACTTGCAGATCTGACGTACAGCTTTCTCATCTTGCTCTGAGATTTCGCTTTCCTTGATGTTAGATCTACTTTTTACGCTTTTGTTCTTGATTCGACATGTTTCTGGAATTGGTTTTTTGGTTTTGATTCCATGTTCTTCTGGAAAGCATTTTGTTGCTCTTCTTTTTTTCCTCTTTTCCTTTTGTCGTGGAAAGAAAAATCCTTCCATCTAGTTCCCAGTTTGTGAAAATTTTGGCTATTATCTTGGAAAATTTAATCTTTTACATATACAGACTGTTAAAAACAAATATGTTCTTCCCTCTAAAGCGAAATTGTTCTGGTCAGAATCATCCTTGGCTCGACCTCATGGCTATGGTGATCTAACTTGGGCTTTTTAACCTCGAAAGTAAATTATTTGTGATTCTTCTCTTATTTTTCTCTGGTACTTGCCTTACTGGTTTATTTGGTTGATAAACTTTACTTACTTTACTTGCTTACTGATAACCCTGTAATAGATGATGAAAGCAAACTCCTTGTCTTGGTTTGAGTTATCTATCTGGGCAATCTTTGTTAAATTCCCTGTAAGGAGCCCAGAAACAATAGCCTAAATTGAAACATACCTGGTTATAGTTTTTTTTTTTTTTTTTTTTTTGTATTGAGGTCCAAGTTACTTTTGCAATTTTAGAATAAACTCTAAAGATGGATGTTTTTACTATTTTATACTGTTTTTTCCCATCTTTGATTCAAAATATGGCAACGAGTTATGCAGAACTTTATTGAACTTTCCTTTATATCCATTTGTAATACAGTGTGTGTATATATATATACCTTCCCATATTTACCTTTCATTGATCTTCAATTCTTAAGTTTACCTTTTTTATTCTTTCTGCTACATTGAAGGTCCTAGAAAAACATCTGTTCTTTTGTGCTTTGGGAAAATGAGGCCCATTTTCTGTGGTAACTTTGAGTATGATGCACGCCAATCGGATCTTGAGCGACTGTTTGGCAAATATGGGAAGGTCGAGAGGGTGGATATGAAGTCTGGTTAGTTGATCTACCATTTACATCTCTCTCCCTTTCTGAAGGCCATTGTTCTCCAGAAGCTATTATTTTGCATTGTATTGCTGTTTGAGATTCGTTTATTTATTTATTGGTCATTCTTTGTTGCCCCTCCCCTGCCTCCTTCCTTCTCTTGTCGTGGTTTTGATGTTGAAATTATTTTGTTACTTTTGTAACAACTAAAGAAATATCAATGAGCATAGTTGAATCCCTTTGTAATACATGTACTTAGACCTTTGAGGTATGATACTTGGATACCATGTGGATTTGGCATTGATACAGCAGAGAGATACACTTACGCTAGAAATACTGGACATGGATATGCAAGTGATGATCATTTTGAAGAACTGTGGTATCATATGCACTCATGCTTATAGTGAATTGATTTATTTGGTCTTTAGTGGTAGTGTTCATGCGTTAGTTGAATTGCAACCAAAACTGCCTATAATACATGCATTTGACATGCAAATTGAGGGAAAGCCATTTCATGTACTACCATAATTTTATATTCCAATTCTACGTGGCGGTGGGTCCTACAGCAACAAAGTGATTCTGCGGTGGATAAACTGTGCATTGATTCTTCAGTTACAAGGGTGCAACATTGTCTGGACTTTACACACGGCAACGGCAATCCTCTTTTCGAGATCTAGTGGGGGTTCAGGATATATTTAAGAAAAGCAAGTCTGTTTTTTGAAGTGTAGGCCCCCATACTCAGCAATTTCTTTGGCGCAGGATTATCTTCGAACATCCATGCTCTTCCTGGATGATGGATGGGCTCTTCTGCATTTTCTTTCCTGCCCGTGCCCGAGCTTCATCTTATTGTGTTTTTCAGAACTGCTGACCTGATCTGCAATGGCACAACCACTCTACATTTCCCCGAGACACCATTGCCTTTCATCCCTCATGACCTTGGCCCAGTCTTCAATTTCAGAAATGTCTCAAGGTATAACCCTTGCCGAACTCGAGGTCAGAAGCAGCAGAATGGATGGAGATGGCACTCTCTGTTCGGTGACCTACCATGAGAACACCCACTTTTGGATTCTTGTTCATTGACATCATTTAATTCACCACACAAGGTCTGTTTCTGAATTTTCTGAGTCACTTAGTTTGTAGCTTTCACAGAGATGTGCAGATGTTACTTTTATATTTCTTGACAACACTTCCATATAATTCCTGGAGCCGGCGAAACCATCAGATTTTCGGGAATCCTTTGACGGGAGGATTCATAAAATTGTCTTAACGTTTGGTTGGTATATGTGATATCCTTGAGTTCTTATTATTCATTATGGTTGTGGGATTTAGGGTTTGCTTTCATCTATATGGATGATGAACGAGATGCTGAGGATGCTATTCGAGGACTTGACCGGTCAGAATTTGGCAGACAGGGGCGCCGCCTTCGTGTTGAGTGGACAAAGGTTGTGAGCTTATTCTCGTCTCTGTGTTAGCATTAGTTTAGGAAATCCTGTTGAACCTGTTGGGTTAAGACATCTAATGTAAAGCTCTTTCAAAATTGCATTGCAGCATGAGCGTGGTATTAGAAGGCCAGGTGGTTCAAGAAGACCTGCAGCCAATTTGAGGCCAACAAAGACCTTATTTGTTATAAATTTTGATCCAATACGCACTAGGACAAGAGATCTAGAGAGACACTTTGATCCATATGGAAAAATATTGAATATAAGGATCAGAAGAAACTTTGCATTTATTCAGTTTGAATCACAGGATGATGCTACCAAAGCATTGGATGCCACAAACATGAGGTCTTTTCTCCCTCTTTGTTCCTGCATTTGCATCAAATAAGGTCTTTGTTCTGCTTAGAAGATATATTTAGAATCTTGATTGCCATCTTGGCTTTTCCATATTTGATTTCTGGAGTCTTATAAAAAAATTGTGATTTGCCTTGGAAATAATACATTACTTGGCTTGACCCCCAGTAACATTTGTCTGTTTAATTTGGGTGCACAGCAAATTGATGGATCGGGTTATTTCGGTAGAATACGCAGTCCGAGATGATGACGAAAGAAGAAATGGCTACAGCCCTGATCGTAGAGGTCGTGATAGGTCTCCTACTAGGAGCCGAGATCGGGGGCGATCACCGAGTCCTTATCGAAAAGAAAGGGGTAGCCCTGATTATGGCCGTGGCCCCAGCCCATATGCCAGGCCTGAACCAAGGGGCAGTCCTGATTATGGTCGAGCAGAGAGCCCAGCGTATGAGAGATACCGCAGGTATGTATTGTTGTCAGGAAAATTCCTCTGCTGTGCCAGTTTGTTCTTTTATATATATGATATGAAATTCATATCTTTTGATGCCTTTTTCTGCGTTCTTTCCCTTTCTGGTTTTTACTACTTGAAAAGAACACAGAAAGATCATTATTTGATCTATTCTGCTTGTTTTTCAGTCGGTCGCCCCCAGCAGAGGAGAGATCGTGATCTCAAGAAGCAATGCAGTAGAGTGGCTACAAGGATTTTGTGGGATATTGTTTTCTTTACGCATCTTCTGATAGGGAACTGTACCGATGAACTTAGCATTTTCATTTTTATTCTGACTATTGTTGTAGGAGTGAACTGTGAAATATACATCTTAAACTGCTGAAATAGGTGCTAGGCTGAAGGAATACTTTTTTCTATTTTTGGCAAGAAGACTGCAGATTATGTTGCTCTTTTTCTTGTGTGGTTAATTTATGCCTTTGTGAAGGGTCTAGATTGTTGACTACAAATACCTCAATTGATCCGGGTTTGAGTGCATTTGAGTCCCGTTTAAAGCAGGGTTGGGATTTGAAGGAAAAGGTAGAGAAACCTATATAAGGTTTGTAAGGAACGGGATCTCACACTTGGGCTCCTCACATGCACATCCACTGTGCATTGGGAACATCTCTCGTTAAAAATAACTTACAAGCAAGGTTCAAAATATTGATACGCGTAAATGAATCGATACTCCTTTTGGTGGTTTTGTTTTTGTCAACTGGTTAGGGGAGTTGGAGGTCTTTGCCACACCCTGAATCGGTCAGATCATAGATACACCCATTGTAGGGGGCGTATGGTGGGGTGTTGGAATCGGCTGATACGTGTTGATATTTTGATCCTTGTTTACAAGTACGGGAAATGTTTTCGATGCATGGTAAGATGTGCGTGTGAGGCGCTTTATGTGAGGAGCAATTCAGTCTTGTTTTTCTACTTTTTCCTTATTTTTTTTCTCTAAAATCAAATACAATCGTAAGGTCTATCAAAATTGAGGCTTTATTGGGTAGTGCTTATTTTATTAGTGCTTAGAAGCAAATGTTTAAAAAATTGTTATGTATCGACTTATAGGAATTGTATCGGGAGCACCTTGATATGCCCCTATAGAGGGTGTATTGGGGTTTTGATCGGCTTAGAGGTGGAGGAATTTTAAATTGGCCTCCTTGAACTGGATTTGAAAGAAAAGGAAAAAAATAGTATCGATATTGTTCGATATGCCTCTACTTAGGGGGTGAGAAAGAACAATTGAAAAATCAAATCGATTGAAAAAACATATTGAAATTGAACCGAAAAATTGGTTAATTGAATTGGTTGGTTTGGTTTTGGTTAATCAATATAAAAATCAGTGGTTAACCAAACCGATCGGTATGTATATTTTTCTATATATTATATATATTTATGTATATTATATGTATTATAAATTAATATATATATATATGCATTATATATAAATATATATTATAAAAATTAAAAAACCAATAAACTGACGAACCGAATTGATGGTTAACTAAACTAGTCACCTAGTTAACCAATTGGCTTTGTTTTGGTTTTAGATACTGATTTTTCAATAATTAGTACTATTGGTTTGGTTCCAAAAAATATCCCACGGTTCGATTAATCGAGCAATGAGCACCCCTATCGGCGTATTGGTATTTAGAACCTTGTTTAGGAGGTGTTTTTTTCAACTCTTTATTCTTAAAATAAGCACTTAAGAACTTTAATTATCACTTTAATTTTTTTTCAACTTTTTATTCTTAAAACACATTTGATATTCGGGGCATTATGTTGTAGGGTTTTTATCGTGTTTTGATATATGGGTATTACCTAATAATAGGTCAAATGATGGGGGACATATTTATAATTAARAAAAAAACAAAACAAGCACTTATTTCATAAACACTTAGGCCATGCTTGAGAGTGCTTAAAAACAAGTGCTTATTTAGAATAAGTGTTTATTTGGGCCATTAAGCACTTATTGGTATTTGAGAAAAAAGCCTAAAATAAGAGTTTATTTTAAAAATAAGGGTTATTTTTTAAGTCCAATTTTCCAATTTTTTTAAGTGTTTATATAATAAGCACTTATTCATTTTTTTTCTTCCAAAATTATCCCTAGTTAAATTTTAAAATATCATTTATAAAGTTATCCCTAGTTGAAATTTATAAAAATACTTTTATGAAAGTACATTTAAAGTAATTTTCTGAAAATATTTTTACAAAAGTACTTTTAGAAATATACTTTTATGAAAGTACTTTTATGAAAACACTTATAAAAGTACTTTTACTAAATCACTTTTACAAAAGTACTTTTATGAAAGCATTTTCATAAATGTACTTTCTTAAAAGTGATTTCAAAGAGTATATTTTGAAAGTTTGAAAGAAAATGAAGGACAAAATAATCACCAAAACTTATTTAAGTGATTATTAGAGAAAAAGACTGCCAAATGCCTAATATAAAATAAGCACTTGAAAAAGTTGGGTGCCTAATACAAATAAGTACTTATTTGAATAAGCACTTATTTTTAACTTAGGCACTTCCAAATATTGCCTTAGACTTATTTTTAAAACACTCATTTTTAAATGCTTATTTTCGGCTATTTGTGGTTAACAGAGATTTGCTTCCCATTTCAAACTTTTTGATATTTTTATTAAAAGAAAATCGATACTTGGAGTTTATGAAATTAATTTTGCTGTGTGGAGAAATTCCATTATCATTTCAACTATCCAAATATTGTATATCAACCATGTTTTCGTTCTTCTCGAACTGAAGATTATTCATCGGTGGAGGAATCTATTGTCATTGCTCACGGTAAAACTGAACAGTAGAGGAAAGGCTGAACATCGGTGGTTGTAGCATATTGGATTGAACGAGGGAGGAGAAGTGAGAAAGAGGCCTAAATGAAAACAAAAAGAAAACTGGATTTGGAGTCAAACTGGTAAATGGGACCAATGACGTGTTCAATTATTATTGGTGGGAACAACGATGTGAGCTCCTCATTTATGGTGTCTTGTAGAGAGTTGTTCCTATGTTTAGTTAAAATAACACAAAGAGAATCAGAATAGTCAAACCAGCCTCATCTTTGGCAAGTGATTTGATTAATATTTAGAGAAATGTAAAAGAGAGAGTTTAAATACAATTGTGAGAGTAGTACACACAGAATTCAAATAGAACTTGACGGAGTTCAAGTTGGACTGTAACATGGTGTTTGCTGACTTTGTACAGGTGTCCGAATGTTATTGAAGACATTATCTTGCCAATGGGGTGGGAAGCTAGTTGCAGAGGACCAACACAAGAACAAATGTTCAGATTACATCTCTGTAGCAACTAAACTGATATACTAACAAAGCTGATCAATTGATTCTTTTCGATACCATTCAATCTCTGCATCTGGCAAAAGTTTTCAATCAAGTCTCATTAAAATAGTCCTTTATGCCCCCTTAGTTTTTCATTAAGTCATTTATTGGGTAAATGTATTTATTTGGATAAGTGTTTTTCAGGAAAAATTTATCTGGATAAATGCATTTATCCATGTTCTTTTATTTTCCATGTAAATAAGGCAATGACAATTTTAGCCATAAAAATTCTATTAAAAAGGGCATTTTCAACTTTCCACCAGACTAATTCATCCACCCAGGAGATGGGTATTACTTACCCGGATAAGTGACACGCAAGAAAATAAACCTTCACTAGTTCTCACATAAATCGAAAAAAAAAAACATGAATTTTTTGAACAATGAAAATCAAAATCCCATTGACCAACCTTCCCCTTTTTAAAATCCAAAAAAAAAGAACGCTATCTTATTTTCAGGATTTTGTTGAAAGGATCGGATAGAGTTGGCAACGCCATTGCTGCTCGAATGTAAGCTTCTTTTGAAAAAAGGACAAAAAATCATTTTATCTTCTAGAYTTGGGCGTTGACTGCCGTTTTAAGAGATTGAGTAGCAGAGGTAAAGTTGCTAGCATGCCGTGGAGACGTAAATTTTCTACTACAAATTATAATATCTGTGAACAGGTATGTCCCTTCATAGGTGGTTTAAAAATAAGCTGATTGTTTAATAGGATTTACCCAATCAACTGGGAACAATTTTGTTGGTTCATGGAGGGGATTGGCGATGCTCTGTTGGGTGGACAGTGGTTGAGAGCATAGCTTAGTTTTTTTGTCTTCATCGGCTGAAGTGGAGGAAGAAGAAGGAATAAAAAGAAAGAGATGGAAAAGTGAAGTTTTTGACTTTTTGTGATTCAAATAACCAATTTCTGTGGCACAATGAGAACTTGGTTTTTGAGGATATAATAAATTACTACTTACTCATTAGTTATAAATTCAGAAGACCCACAAAAGCGTTATAATTCCTCCTCTGCAACTCCCCCGTGCTATTCTTTTTCTTTTTTTTTCAACTTTTCTGCAAAATTGACATAATAGCGGGATCGGTTGAGGTTTTTTTTTTGTTATGGATTTTTGTGTGGAAAGGTGTTTTGAAAATTTGAAGAATAACTRATGGAGGGTGATTTGGCCCGATCTCGCAGCACGGGTACATGTGGGCGTGACCTTGCTCAAACAATGACTCAGCGTGACAGCGCAACGGATGCAACCACAACTCAGAGGGAAGGTCCCACCGAGTTCAGCTCGGCAACTGGGCGGATAAACTACTCGTCGGGAGCCGCCTTACCTGCACCTCCTCCCCGGGGTTAAGGCACTTCGGGGTGCCCCGAGTTCGAGGTACCCTGACCTTTCTTGATGCCCGAGCTTCTCCCGATGGACCTCGGGCCACCCCCAGACGGGAACACACTGACCCATCTCTAGATGCCCCGGGGTGAAAACACTTCAGGCCAGACAGCTCGGCATAGCTTGCCACAGGCAGCTCACCGCTTACGGGATAGCCCGACACAAGGTAACCCGCGAAGGGGTAGTACGACGTACCGCAGGAAGATCTCCTACCCAACCACCATACCCGACAAATCTGGGAAAACCGCCATGTCCCTTGCCAGAGAGGGTCGTGCCTGCCACCTTTAGAGGGTATCGTACACCTGATAGGCACGGACCCAGCAGTAACAACCCCACGCGTGCCGCCTCAGCCCTTCCTGTAATGGCTGTGGTAGGCTGACAGTGGCGGTTGTACCTGCCCTGTCAGAGGCCAGTAGGCCCGGTGCAACGAAATTTTGTTATAAGGAGCCTATTCTCAGAAAACGGGTATCTGGAAAATCTCTCGCGCTACCTCACTCTTAGCTTTTATCCTCTCTTTGCTTCTTACACAGAATACTGACTTAATCGTCGGAGCGTTCCCACCGGGCAAACCCCCCAGGGATTCTTCTTCTTCCTCGTCTCAGGTACCTCCCGGGAGCCACGCGAGTGCCAACTAGGAGTGACCAGATCGCGCTACATCATTTGGCACCGTCTGTGGGAAACGCTTCGAAAAGCCTTTCTCTAAACTTTCACATCTCTTTACTCTTCAAAAACTCA